TGCACACTGCGCATGTTGTCTGTTTTAACCCAAAGTAACCCACCAATTGAAAATCATTGTTTGCACGGCGCCACCCGAATTGCTCCGATTTTTCCATTCATCGATCACCTCCACCTGAGTTTAATCACCATTGACAGCTGTTTTTTGATTTATTTTTTGGTATTTTAGCAATTTAAAGTGCTTTAGTTAATCAATTTCAAGTTCAAAATGCCACGATGTATCTTGAAAAAATGTATGTACTTAGAATACAAGTACTAATGTTATGAACATATTTGTTTTCAGCGGTAAATATTTATTAACGTTTTGACATAAAGCGCCATGTTTCTCTGGGCTGAATACTTCAGATCCGCATTAAGGGGTTTCAATAAATATTAAGCATCCGAAATCAGATTTCATATTACATAAATTTACAAAAAGATAAAATTTTGAACATTTAATTTAAATAAAAAGTAAATAGGCATTGTTGCTAACGAAATTTTGTATTTAAAAAGTAGTTTTATAAGAATGTTTTCTAAAGGTGATTTTAAGCCCTTCTTGGTAGATAAATAAGAAGTAAAGAATCATAGTTGCTAGCTAAATTTTATTTTTATAAGCTATTTTTATAAGAATATTAGATGAAATACAGGATGACCTACTTAAAATTACAAGGTTCATCTTATTTGCGGTCAAATCGAAAGTGACATTTGAATCTTCAGTCTTAAAACAAAGTAAAACGCACCATATGATCTACTATAAGCAAAACAAATACTAAAGTTACGGGAGTTGGTCACATTAATAAAATGTTACATTACAAACCCCAAAACAACTCGAACAAAATTTTCGTTTACTAAAAAAAATCCAAAATTTAGCAATATTTATTATTTATTATACAATCGAATGCGGTTTCAAAGATAACGGGATCAAAAAATCCGAATCACAAAATTTTTGAGCTAAACGCTCGGATAAAAGCAAACGACCGATAGGGGTTACAAAAATAATCGATTTATCGATAATTCTGATATTTTTTTATGAAAATCGATTTATCCGCTGTTTTTAATAAATTATTTTTGTTTTTTTAAAATGTATTAATCTATTTTAAAGGAAATACAAAAAAAAGTAGATTTATTCAAAATAATCGATTTTCGTTCAATTCGGTTTTTTCATTATTCGATTGAATATAATCGGTTATTTTATATAACCGATATTTTAGGTTATTTTTTAAAATTATCGATTTATTGGTTAATCAGCTTTTTAATAATTGATTATTTTTGATAATCGAATAATCAATTTTAAAGGAAATATTAAAAAAAGGATTATTAGAAAATAATCGATAATTCGTTTTATTTTTTGGAAAATCGATTTATCATAGAATCGGCTTCTTAATTAATTAGTTATTTTCGATTAGGCGATTATTTTGGAATTATCGATTATTTTCAGTATTTCAAAGATAATCGAATTATCGATTTTAAGGAAATACAATAAAATAGATAATTGATAATAATCGATTTATCTTAGAATCGGCTTCTTAATTAATTGGTTATTTTCGATTAGGCGATTATTTTGGAATTATCGATTATTTTCGGTATTTCAAAGATAATCGAATTATCGATGTTAAGGAAATACAATAAAATAGATTATTGATAATAATCGATGTATCATAGAATCGGCTTAATTAATTGGTTATTTTCGATTAGGCGATTATTTTGAAATTATCGATTATTTTCGATATTTCGAAGATAATCGAATTATCGATTCTAAAGGAAATACAATAAAGTAGATTATTGATAATAATCGATCGACGAAAAATAATCAATTATTTAAAATATTCGATAATTCTGTTTTTTTTTTTTGAAAATTGATTTATCAGTTAATCGACTTTTTAATTAATCGATTATTTTTGATTAATCGATTATTGTCAAATAATCTGTCTCAATGGTCGAAAAAAATGGATTATTAGAAAATAATCGATAATTCGGTTATTTTTGGAAAATCGGCTTCTGAAATAATTAGTTATTTTCGACAGACGATTATTTAGGAATAAAATATTATTTTTGGTATTTCAAAGATAATCGAATTATCGATTTTAAAGGAAATACAATAAAAATAGATTATTGATAATAATCGATTGATCGAAAATAATCGATTATTTAAAATAAATGATTATTTTTTTTTTATTATATTTTGTAAACACTGATTTATCGGTTAATTGGCTTTTTAATTAATCGATTATTTTTGATTTTTCAAAGTTAATCAAGTAGTCGATTTTAAAGGAAATGACAAAAAAATATGTTGTTTGAAAATAATCGATTGATCGAAAATAATCGATTATTTTCAATGATCGATAATTTATTTCAATAATCACTCATCCCTAGCGACCAAATTATTTTTAATAGATTTGAATTTTAAAATGTTATCTGATTTCAGACATATTATGCATTTCTAGAGTTTTATGTGACTCATCCTTTATAATAATTAATATTCCTAAAGAAAGAAGCCTTAACATACCTTTTTCTGAGGTTATAATACAAAACAGCATTTTCTCATTTTGACTAATTTTTATTATTATGTAATAGCCGTAGAAAAAATATAATGTTCAACTCATAAGGTTAGATTTGCAGTATTCGCCTGCGCACATGCTATTTTTATAATACTCCTAGACAATGAGTAACATTTTTTGCTCTATCAATAATATATTCTATTTCAACATTTTACTGTAATCTCTTGCAGAAAAGTCCGTAGGAAATAAACGCTAACGAAATATTCTATAAAAGGTCTTCTCTTTACATAAAATGTCGTGGCATCTGTTTGATATTAAAAAATCACGTTAATTTTATTTCATAATACAAAATTCGATTAAACACCTTTTAAATAAATTTAATAGTTTATTATGATGCTAATAAATAAAGTCCGGTCCCTGCCACAGAGTTCGGATCGCCGCGTGTCGCCGCCCAGTTCCCCCACTCCGTTAACCTTTCTTTAGAAATTGGCAACATTTGCGCAGGTTAAACACCGGTGTATGTTATATCTCTGGTCTCTTTTATCTAAGGTGATTCAGGTAAAATTGAAAAGTATATTACATATTCTTTTTAATGTGTTGTAAATTCAAACGCTTCTCTTATTGTAATAGCTAACAATAAAATTCAAACGCTTCTCTTATTGTAGTAGCTAACAATAATATTCAAACGCTTCTCTTATTGTAATAGCTAACAATAAAATTCAAACGCTTCTCTTATTGTAGTAGCTAACAATAATATTCAAACGCTTCTCTTATTATAATAGCTAATAATAAAAAAATTCGTATTCTTTTACGCTATCAAAATAAAAATAGCGCCCGGATTTACAGCTTGTTTAATGGAACATGCAATATGCCCCTCAATTATTATTGCCGAAAGAATATATTTAAAAATTCCCGCCATTCCGCTGCTGGAAATTTACTATTTTGGCGGTAAGTTTAAATTTCGCCTTTAAATTATATTTGAATTTACCGCCATATCGCATTTAGCGCTACAAACTTAGTGTCATCTCTTTAACAAGTGAGATGCACTACTACAGTGATATATTGTTGTCTTTAGTCTATGCTTCGGAGGCGCAAGCAAACTCACAAGCTAAACCATACCCTAAAGCAATTTTGTTAGTTATATATTTATTTAATTATTTATGGTGTAAATACCTAATTTATACCTAATAAAAAAAAAACTACTTGCGGCGCATTTTTTGCCGTTTAACGTGATGTCCTGCACGACCGCCCTATTTGCATTCATAAAACAGATACTGTCAAAAAAAATTTAAAATATACTTTGTTCATTTTTCAAAAAGGTGGCAAACTGACACTGGACAGAATAATCGTTAAATGTTTGTTGGTAACCTATTTTTAAATTTTATAGTATACTCACAAGTATGAAGGGCGATGCCGATGACCGGTCGGTAAAATAAAAATAAAAGTGCTCCTGCAAAATAAATCTTTTTGTTGGTTATAATTAACGAAAAATTGTGATTTAAGTATCAATGGATTTAGAAAAGAAGGGACTATAAATACAACTAAGAATGTAAGTGATTATTATTTAATATATAAATTCAAACCTTTGAAAGTGGACATATAAACAATAAATACAGAAAAAGTAGATCCTAAAGATAAGTAAAGCGACTAGTATTGTTAGCAGTGGCGCACACTTTGGGAAATTTATCAGTGTATGTTTAAATCGAAATATGATCTATTCACTATTATAATGGACAAAGAAGATATAAGCAACACAGACCTTCTTCAGAAATTATTAAGCGTAATTAAAACAGAGGGCGAACAAATTAGAAAAGAAATAAAGCAAGAAATTCAAACTGAAAATGCTAAAATAGTCGAAAAACCTAATATATGCACAATAAGAGTTGATGAAATTGACAAAAAATACCAACTACTTGAGAGTCAATGCATCCATTTCGACAGACAACTCAGAAAAAATAATGTGTTAATATTTGGCCTAAAAATTAAAAATAAATCGGAAACAGTTTCTGAGGTACTAGAAAAACTTAGAAATGTGCTTAATTTAAATATCAGTGTAAGTGATATCAACAACATCTACCCAATTAAAGCTGGAAATGGCGGTGCGATAAAAGTGGAATTTATTTCCTACCTGAAAAAGCAACTTTTACTACAAAACTGCCATAAGCTGAAGGGCACTGAGGTATACGTTGTCCAGGATCAGTCCTATCAGGACAGACAAGACTCAAAAATTCTAAGAACACATTTAAAGGCTGCTAGGTCTCAAAATTACTTTGCCAAAATAAAAGGTCGGTCTCTTATTATTAATGATGATGTCTACACTGTAGAAGACTTAAATAAGTTAGATCTTCCCGCACAAACTAATTCAAATATCTCTCCTATTAAGAACACGATCAAACCTCATAGTGCTCCTAATAGACCTGTACCAAATCACACATTTTTTGAGGATAATATAGATTTGTTTAAACTGAAAACTCCAATCACGGAATCCAATATAAACCTAAGCACTAAAAGTAATGATAATGGAATGGAAGAAAGAATATTAGTAGATACTACAAAAGTTAAAGAAGTCCTAACTATCGAACAAGGTAATACAAGTAATGTAAACGAACGTGGAACGAAGGAAGAAACAAAAGATAAAGAAGACAGAATAGAAAAAACAAACAAATCCCGTACTAACTCTTCATCGTCTATTACTAACACAAGACCGAAACGTTTTCTAAACAAATAAGACAATATATTTATCTTTCTGTGTTATAAACTGTTAATTTTTCTATTTTATTTTTTTGAAATTGCCTTGCTTATTTATACCATAAACATATACATAAACTTTTTAGTATTTAAAATTAGATTGTTCTAGGTTTATATTGTGTAATGTTAATATGGATCCTTATATAAGAGACTTTAATTTGTCTGAGATTACTACCTTTGTAGCTGACACTGTTGATGTATCCAAAAATTATTTGAGACATAATTTAAACTACCTTTCAATTTTCCACACCAATATCAGAAGTGTTGGGAAAAATTACAATCCTTTAGAAATTTTGTTAGATCAATACAATTCATTTTTTGATATTATAGTATTAACGGAGACAAGAATATTAGAAAATCCTCAACTATTTAATTTGAAAAATTATAATTTAATCTACAACGAAGGTAGAGTCAATATTACTGACGGGGTCTTAGTTTATATTAATAATGATTATAATTTTGAGACACACATTATCGATATTGCTGGCATTAAATGTATACGAGTATTTTTAAATATTGAAAGTAAAACCATGGGAATTACATGTATTTATAAACCTCATGATATTAAAACTGAGGACTTTATAAATTCATTAGCTAACTATTTACAAAATACCTCACTGAAAGATACAGAAGTAATTGTAGGTGACATAAATATCGACATATTAACCCCATCGGAAGAAGCAAACGAATATCTAAATATTTTATACGAATTAGGATTCAAGTCTACTATCAATGATTATACCAGAATTGAAAAAAACTCAAAAAGTTGCTTAGACCACATCTTCTTTAAGAGTAATTTTATCGACTCTAATCTTTTAATCCCAGTCATACTACACTCAAAAATCACAGATCACAGCCCTACAATTCTTCAAATTAATAATCCATTAATAAATAAAAAAGAAATAAAAAACAAACCTAATTTTGTAACTAAGAATTACATTAATTATAATAAACTAAGAACTTCTTTAAATGTTCAATATATAAAAATTGTATGAAATGTTTATTCACAATGTATTTTTATGCATATTATGTTATTTAAAAATATAGTCATTTAATTTTAATTATTGTCTAGTATATATTTGTATTTAGATTTACTATATTGTATATTGTATGTATTTTTTATTCTAAATTATTTTCGAAACAAGTGTTAAATCGCTTATCGAGCATAATAATTTATTCTAATTTACTATATTAACATGTACTTCTATTTTTGAGAATAAATTATATTATTATTATTATATTATTATTATTATAAGTCTTTTGCTGAAATATTCCAAACTAATAATGTTGAATTGGCTACAAACAAGTTTATAAATATTGTTAATTTAAGCGTAGCAACAGCCACAACATCTGCAAACATAAAAATTAAACCCAAAAAAAAACCGTGGATAACTGACTGAATAATCCAATCTATGAAAGAAAGAGATAGACTATTCAAAGCATATAGGAAGTATAAAACTGACGAAGCCTTTAGGATGTATAAAATACATAGAAACCAAATTAACAATTTAATACATCAGGTAAAACAAGACTATTACAAACATTTAATATTAAATAATCAAAACAACTGTAAAAAAATTTGGGAAGCCGTTAATGAATACACTAATAAAAGTTCGGGCTGTACATCTACATGTATTCCAGAACTTTTTGATGGAGCTGGAAAACCCGAAACAAACAAAACAAAAATAAGTGAAATTTTCAATACTCACTACATACAAGTAGGAAAAAGCCTGGCAAAACATATAACTGATAATAAAAAGGAAGCTTTTACTGACTGCGCCACGGTATACAACAAAAATACAATTTTCCTAAAGCCGGTCACAGAACTAGAAATTAAAGAAAACATATCCTCCTTAAAAACAAGTGTATCTCCAGGGATAGATGGAATAACCGTAAAATTGCTTAAAGAAGTAATAAATCAAATATCATCCCCTCTTACTTATTTAATTAATTTAATGTTTGAGCAGGGTATCTGCCCGTCACAGTTTAAAGTAGCTGTTATTAAACCTATATTTAAAAAAGGGGAAAAAACCAAAGCTGAAAATTATAGGCCTATAAGTCTAATTTCAAATGTGGTAAAAATATTTGAAAAAACATTTAAAACTAGAATTACCAATTTTGTTGAAAAAAATAATTTGTTAAGTGATATGCAATTCGGATTTAGAGAACAAAAATCAACAAATGATGCCATTGCTTGTGTTACTAAAAAAATTTCCGAAAGCCTAGGTGAGAGTAAGAAGTGTGCATGTATATTTATCGACTTGGCAAAAGCATTCGATACTATAAGCCATCAAAGGCTTTTGTCAAGGCTTTATAATATTGGAATCCGAGGGAATGCACATACGCTATTAAAAAGCTATCTTACTAATAGGACGCAATTGGTAGAGGTAAATGGTCAACGGAGTACAACCAAAGAAATCACATATGGTGTCCCGCAGGGAACAGTACTAGGACCTATCTTATTCATCTTATATTTAAATGAATTACTCTCCTTAAAAACAAAAGGCACAGTGATCTCTTTTGCTGATGACACTGTACTGATTGTTGAAGGTAGCACGTGGGCGGAAGTCGAAATTAGGTTGAAAACCGACTTAAAAAAAGTTATACATTGGTTTGATGAAAATCTTATTGTAATTTCAAAAAAATCGCAACAAAATGGCTTTTGACAACAAAATTATTTATTTAATTTCCTGTTATACTCTATAGCTGTAAAAGAAGGATATAACACTAAAGTAACATTATTTGTGAGAGGTGAAGATCACACTTACCTAACACTCCGTGGCAAAGGCTGTCAAGATTTTTCTTAGTCTACTGTCCACATCGTGTCCATGTCTTGTCCTGTCATTGATATGTTTTTCTTTTTAATTTGTATCTACTTTTGTATCTACTTTGTAACTACTTCCTCAAAACATAACAAACTCTTCAAAACTATTGACTTTCAAAAAAATTAATTGCATATGTACTTCAACTAGGCAGAATGTTTATTGCAAACTTCATTGAAATTTAGGGATTTTATTTTATTTTATTTTATAATTATATTTTATTGTGTTCCAATTTAAATATTTTCTACTGTCTAGTCTTTCTGTATCTAATAAATTAATGTTTCACTGTAAAGAGACATTGTTTTATATTATTATTATTATTATTATTATTATTATTATTACATAGTTTTTATTATATTTTTTACCTGCAACAAGTTGCGACTTTGCAGGATTTTGTAGTTTATTGATCAGCTTCCATTTTTATTTTGTTTTATAATTTTTTATATGTATGAATAAACTCTATTATTATTATTATTATTATTATTATTATTACTCTGTTATTTTTTGTTATTTTATCAAGAATATGTCTACTCCTCATATACCTGTGTACTCTACTCTGCGCTTCAGGGCAATTCGTTAAAAGTTTGCTCCAAATTGAAATTACTGGAAGGCAATTCCACTCATCCGGCGCTGGGCTTTTTCCTGATAAATACTTAAACACGGCCCGGAAGAACCCTTTCGTATATCCGCATGAAGAAACACTTTTGTTCGAATTCATACATACGGTGTTGGTTGTATTCCGACGTTTGTGAAATCCCATTGTTTTGAAATGTAATACAAGAAATGATATGGCATATTGTGAGAAAACTAAACGTACGACAGCATATTTATAAACTATACAGGGTATTTCATTTCAAAACAAAATAAATGTTTAACTTTTTACTTTCCTCGATAAAAGGGAAGTATTGTAATAATCGAATTAAATTACGGGTTTTGAGCTTACATTAAATTGTAATTAGATGAAACAAAATGGATTCTATGTATTTTGAAGTGATCTTTCGAAAAAAGGCAAAACAAAATGTAGCAGTTTTTTGAAAGTGCCGAAATTTTGGATTTTGTCAATTTTTCAATTTAACGCAGGCGCATGTCGGAAATAAATCAATATTTTTAAAACGCAGTTTACGACATTTGAAAGCTTACGAAAAATGCTAATTTTTATGTCTCCTGAAAAATTTTGATCCGATGCACCGTTCTCGCGGTATGGACGAAATTTGTTTAGTATTTTGAGGCGACGAAGGTCGAAAAATTGAATTTGTTAAATGTTCAAACACTAAATTCTTTATAACATTGTTAAAAATTAGGATATTTGAAAAAACAAAAATGCGTTTTGAACTTAAGGGATGTGACTAGTGATTCCCAGAAGGGGGCAAGAGAAATCCCAAAATTGGGCATATGGCGGAAGGGCAAAATGCACCGCGGTCCTAATTTCATTGTTTGCCTATAACGGCCAAACTATTTGAATTTTTTTAATGCTACTTACAAAGCTTACTCTTAAATGTGAAATCTTATGTGTGTGTGAATTTCACTGACATCGGACCATAATTGGCTAAGATATCAAACAATTAAATATTTTTTTTTTCTTAAAAAAAAAATTATTTTTTTTCGAAAGTTTGAAGGGGCACAAAAATGCCAAAAATGCACCCAATGGCTCAAAACTTTTTTTTTTTTTTGAGTACTCTATTGTGTCTAGAATACGATCTAATTTTTTGACCACTGTTCATTGAGTGACGACCAAAAAACACGGTTTTTGAGAAAAGTTGCCTAAAATTGACAATTTTTAGTTTTTTTGTCTGAAAATTAAACAAACCCAAACTTCATGTCTTCTAAATGTGTATACAAAGTTTAAAGTGTGTATGTTTCTTCTAAGTTGTAGAATTCTCCCGACAAAAGTCCCATTACACGCGCTCCGCGGGATCCAAAACTCGTGTATACACTACATTACTGTAATTTGATTTTTTTGCGTTTTCCAGTTTTAAATTTCTTACACATCTAAACTTATTAGGCTTAGAATTTAT